TTCAGTATAATTGTCTGTTATCACCAACAAGGTAAAAACAAAACAACACAAAACCCCTCACTGCCCTTGAATCTCTTCTAGCTAAGAGTGACTCTCCATGGGATTTTTGAGATGGGGACTGCCTATATTTCTCCTGCAGCATGGTGGCTGGGTTGCAGACAATGGCTCTTCTGCTTAGCAACACAGCACGCTGGGAACTACATCACCAGAGCCCCTAGGCAGAACGTGGACATGGGGCTCTAACCCACGACTCTAAGACTAAGAGCTTCATCTTCGCAAGATTGAGTCATTATGCAAAAGTTACATAAGCTAACAGAGCACAAGTCAAAGACATATCTTGGAGTCAGCAATAAGGGGAAGAGGGAGGGAACCAACCCAACAAACCAACAACAATCCCAAACTATGGGAAAGAATAACTCTGGTGGCATTACTGTTGCACTCCTAAACAAAAGGTGGATTGTTAGAATCCAACAGCTGCTCCTAGTGGGCCTTTTCCTCCAGTTAAGGTTTACAGCCTTGGAAGCCTCATGGAGGGCAGCTCTGAGTCTGAACCAACTTGATGACGGGGCTGTTGGATTAGATACAGAGACAAAGCCCAAGAAGAACAAAACAAGTATTTTAGCCAATAAAAAAGTGAAGAAGAAATACGTAGAAAATTCCAATTATTGCAGGAAGTTCTACTATTAACTAATTTTCAAAAATTGAAAACAAAGGGGTGGGAAAAGATATATAAAGAATTTATGGGATATAAAAAGCACATGGTAAAAGCATATGTGGCTGCCTGAGGGGATAATTTTTAACATCCCTAATGTAGTATATAACCTTAATTGAAGGTCGTATGAAATGTTTGGTGGTTGCTTTTTTTTTTTAATTTAAGCCTCTTTTTTAGAGTCAACAAGACCTTGGGACCTCAGGCCTTGTGTTATTATATTATGGAGGAATATTCTTCTAAATTGTACAGCACTCTTCTGTCAATTTGCTGCACTGAAGTAATCTGGATTTGCTGTGATGCTGAATCTTGTGCCATTGGGGTGTCAAATGCCATAATGGTTGCCCGTAGTGCAAAGTGTTTGGTGGAGCTCCCAGTTTAAGACAGGCTTAGAAGCAGGAGTGACAACCACTTCCTAAACTACATGCCTCTGGAAACCATGAACTTGGAGAAATGACTCCAGGTCTTTATA